ATTCTCCAAAAGGGCAAGTTCAAGTCTCCTCTGAGACTCAAGGCAAACCCTTAGCTATGAAGCTCTGTAAAAATAAAAAAAGTTAAATGATTGCAAGATAAAATGGCTTGATGGAAAACATTTCCATTCTAAAAGGGGAGAAAGGATAGGACCATCCTGCATGGTGGTACACACCTGTAATTCAAGCACTCTGGAAGCCTGAGACAGCAGGATTGCAAGTTTGACTCCAGCCTGGGGGACTCAGCAATGTCTCATAATGAAAAATAAATGCACCCCTTCAGCCTGATTGTGGATGAAAGACAGCATGTTGCCTCAGGGGTCCTAACCAAAACAGTGGGACCTAGGAGAGACCGGTTGCCTATTTGTCCAAGACACTAGATTCAGTATGTAAAGGTTGGCCTCCCTGTTTGTGGGCGCTTACAGCAGCCACCCTCTGAATAAGGAGGCAAACAAACTGACTCTGGGACAAATTTCACTGTTCAGGTACTGCATGCTATTCTTGAACTTCTCAATAGTTGGGCACCTTGGTGACTTGCAAACAGCCGCATCACTCAGTACCAGGGACTGCTCATTGGAAATCCCCAACTCACCTTCAAGCCAGTGTAGACTTTAAATCCAGCCACCTACTTGCCCACAGAGCTCGAGCAGCCTGACCACAATTGCCTTGCATTGCTTTACCAGTTGTCCTGACCCCAGATGGAGCTTCTAGCAGAGGCTGAGTACACTGTATTCACAGATGGCAGTGACTCTGTGAAAGATGGACAGTGCTGGCCGACCGTGCTTTTATACCACTGAAGAGATGCTCCTAGCCAGATCTCTTCCTTAAAATTGGTCAGCTCAATGGGCCAAACTCTAGGCATTCATACAGGCCCCCAACTGGGCAAAGGACAAAAGGTAAATATTCACAGATTCCCAGGATGCCTTTGTTCAGGTCTCTAGGATGTTACCATAAAGTGGATGAGGCCACAGAATTGGCTGCTGAGGCCTCAATGGGCCCTCACCACCACCTGAAATCTAATACATAAGATTCTGTTCTTGTAAAGATCTCCAAATAGACTTCACTGATACTGAATCATGCCGGGGCTACAATTATTTGCTGGTTCTTGTTTGCATTTTTATTCTGGCTGACCAGAGGACCTCCCTACCAAGACTGAGAAAGACTTGTAATAAAAATGGCAAAAGTCCAGCCCAGGATCCATCACTCCAGATCAAGCGAGCTCGACCTGGCGACTGCTGTGAGGTCAGGCCTGACAAGTCAGATCCACTAAAGACTGTGCCAAAGGGACAGTGCTCTCCAAGCCTTCCTTCTCCCAATCTAGAAGCTAGAAGTGCACGGCTGAGGACTGACTGGACGACGTACGCAGGAGTACCTGTTTTGATTGCCACTTTTTTCTGCTACCCTGGTTGGGTTTTGATTCTTTTTTTTTTTTCCTCGTTTATTTTAGTGCCTGCTACAGAACTTTGAGTTACATCCCCAGAGGATTGGAAGGGTCCCCCAAAAGCCACCTTCTTTCTGTTTTATATTGGTGTTTTTAACTATTCTGCTGGATACCTTGCTTTATTTTATTGAGTTACAGATTCAATATAATTTTTTGTCTTTTTGAAACAGAGACTCACTATGCAGTTCAAACTTGAGTTCACTTTGTAGCCCAGGCTGATCTCGAACCTGCTATGATCCTTCTGCCTCAGCCTCCCAAGTGATGGGATTACAGGCATTTGCCACCACGCCCGGTGAGATTCAATGTATTGTTATCCTGCTTGTTCCCTAGTTCCACACCTTCTGTTAATCTTTGTATTAACTATTATTCTCTGGGCTGCAACTCTAGCACACTCAGAGATTACTAGAAAGGTTGTCTTTATTCTTTATTTTATAAATATTAAACTTGACTTACTTACTTTTGACTGTCTACACCTGCAGTAAAAATGCTTCCTTCATGGATAATATGTATTAACATTCTAGGAGCGTGTAAAAATTTAGGATATTGGAAATTTCAAATTCAAATGCAAGGTATAGAGTCCCACTTTTTAAAAAAAATTTTATTTAAAGAAAGACTAAACAAAACAGAAAATAGGTAGAAATAATACATATGTTCAGAGAAAAAATAAAACAGTACGAAATCACTAGTTGATGTTTACATATTGTCGTTTTACAAATAGTTGTTCAAAATACAAAAATGGAACATGTAAAGTGGGAATTTAAACAGCGAGACTGCAAACAGTTCTGTTCAACTATCCAGCAAAAACTTAGTAACATGGTTGTCAATCCTATACACTTAAACATACATGCAGTTATCCATAGCTTCATTTATGTTTAGATTAAAGAAACTAAAGCAGGTTAAAATCATTCTGAACAAAGAGTAATAGTATTACTGGATTTCACATCATGACACTCTGATCAGCACTGGGTACTGTAGTACCTTTTTAAAAAAATTTAATTTAAAGAAAGACTAAACAAAACAGAAAACGGGTAGAAATAATACATAATTTCAAAGAAAAAATAAACTAAGAAATCACTAGTTGGGGGCTGGGGATTTAGCTCAGTGGCATAAGCATCTGCCTTGCAAGCAGGTGGTCATGAATTCGATCCCCGGTACCGATAAAAAGATTTTAAAAATGTAAAAAAAAAAAAAAAAAAAAAAAAAAAAAAGAAATCACTAGTAGATGATTACAGATTGTCTTCTTACAAATAGCTATTCAAGATACTAAAGAGGAGCTGATAAAGTGGGGATTCAAACAGTGAGATTGCAACCAGTTCTGTTCAACTATCCAACAAAAACTTAGAAATATGGTTATCAATCCTATACACTTAAACATACATGCAGTTATCCATATCTTCAAATATGTTGACACTGAATAAACCCAAGCAGACTAATATCACACTGAACAAAGAATAATACTATTGCTGGGTTTCACATTATGACACTCTAGGATCAGCACTGGGTATTTTAGTGTCTCTTTTTCTTCAACGTATCTGTTCATTTCATCATGTGTCACAAGATCTGCTCTCATAAAGTTATAGATTCTACATATGCATGAGTCTTAACATGTATTTCTATCCTTTCTATATTAGAGGGAGAAACAAAACAAAGCATGGAAAAACAAAACATATTCCTATAAACACATGAAACAAAATAAACATATAAGACTGTTGTACAAAGAGTTCTACTATGGTGCCTGTGTTGTCTCTTGTTATCTCCAATAGAATTGGCTATATCATCAGACATAATATAATTGAATAGATCCATACATAACAGTATTATTAAAAACACAACTTTTTATATAGTATAGAACTTCAAAAACCGGCAGTTATCAAACCAGAATGTGTATTGTAGAGTCTTGTCATTTTCAGTGTAGTTGCCTATACTCTCAGGCTTGATACTATCAGTCGTATCAGTTTTGAATAAAATCTTCTCTGCCTCATTTTTGTTATGCTCTTGTTTGCCATCAGTTGTCTGCTTATCTTCTTCATTCTGTTTTCTGTTCCATTCATTGAGGCCTCTCTGCCACTGTTCCTGCAATCCTAGTACTTTTCTCTCTCTCTAGAATGCCCTGCAGTATTCTCTGTAGACTTGGATTGGTGGTTGCAAATTTCACAAGTTCCTCTTTGTCTTGGAAGCATCTTGTTTCTCCATTAATTTCTAGAGATAGTTTATCAGGGTATATCAATCTGGGCTGGAGGTTATTTTCTTTCAGGGCTTGGAATATTTCGCTCCAGGCTCTTCTTGACTTGATGGTTTGTGTTGAGAAGTCTGCCATTGTTCTGATGGGCCTTCCTTTATAGTTGATTTGTTTCTTGTCTCTAACAGCTTTTAATAGTCTGTTCTTATATTGAGTTTCTGGGATCTTGATTATTATATGCCTGGGTGTAGCTCTGTTTTGGTTGTAGGTGGCTGGAGTTCTGCATGCCTCATATATCAGAATATCATTTTCTTTTCCTATGTTTGGGAAGTTTTCCGTAATTATTTCTATGAATAGCCTTTGTAGTTCCTTTGTTTGTACGCCTGCTTCTTCATTCACATTCTTTATTCTCAAGTTAGAGATCCTTTTGTCATCTTCTAGCCTTTTGTATTGTTACTGTTTATTTCCTTGTTATTTTAAAAAAGTTTTCCCTTTCATACTCCCACATTGCAAAATTGTCCTCCAGTTTGGATAATCTATCCTTAGTTTCTTTCAAGCTAATTTGCCATCTTTCCATAAAGTTTTAAATTTCCTGGTGATCTCTTTGAATCTGCTTCATGTATTCTATATTTTTTTATATTCTTCATCAAATGGTTCTCTCCTTTGAGTTCCTCCCTTCTTCTATCTATGTCTGCTTGAGGGGTGCTTAGTATCTCTTTAATTTTCTTATATCTTGCTTTACTTGGCTAAATATTTCACTTTTGAACTCATCTATGAGGTCCCAAATATATCTCTTTACGTCCACTGGCACTGTGTCTGTTATTGCATGTTTGCTGTTCTCATTCTCCTTTGTATTTACCTGTCCTGGGTCAATGTTCTCAGGGTTGGGACCTGGGGACTTTTTGTTGTTGCCTCTTCTTTCCATCCTTTTTGCTTCTTCTAGGAGGCCCCAGTTTCTTTCTTTGTTGGTTACAATTCTTCTGAAGCATGCTGGCTAGATGACCCTTCCCACTGCAGTGTGCTAGTGAGTTGCAGACAGGGACAGCGTATGCTGGCCCCTCCCCTCCAGATGAGTCAAGCGCTGTGGCCTGCACTGTATTATTTTGCATCACTTCCCCTCCGGGTGGCAGCAGCTAGAACACAGCAGCGGCGGCGGCGGCGGCGGCGGCGATGGTGGCAGCGGTGGCAGACTTTGCACTGCCTCCCCTCCTGGTCGGCAGCCATGGCAGGATCAGGGATGCCCAGTTACTCTGGACCCACGGTGACATGTCTCGCTGGTGGCCTGGAGGTGCTGCATGTGGCGGCTGGAGTGCGGCGGTGCAGGGTTCAGTCAAGTCGCTGTGAGATGCACTGTATTTTTTTGCACCACCTCTCCTCCGGGTCAGTCAAGCTGCTGTGGCCTGCACTGTCAGTCAAACTTCTGAGATTTCACTGGGTTAGTGTGGTTAGTGTGTGCCACCACTGTAGGGACTTGATTTCGGATAATCTATTTGGTCTCAGCTAGGTCACATGAACCAAGCCTAGCTCACTCCACCAATCCCGTTCGGGAAGGGAGCAACTGACTGAAGTCGCTGCTGCCCCTTGTACTTGCCAGTCCTGCCCAGTCCCAGAATGTTGTCCGCTGGAGCCCCCCCTATTTATGGAATGGCTCCACTCCTGTCACTCACCGCAAGTTGATGTAGGCACCCTGCCAACTCAGCTCTCCCCTTGGCTCGCCGGCCCCCAAATTCAATGTCAAAGCAGTGGGACCTCAGACAGCTCAGCAAGTCGCGGTGGGACCTTGGCAGGTCAGCAAGTCGCCTTAATTTCTTCTTAGGACGAGAGAATTCACCCTCTATTTGGGGTTCCCCACGCTGTATTATGTTGAATTCTAATTGACTATCTCAGAGAGCCTCTGTAGCCAGTTGTTATCTATCTGCCATCTTGTTCCTCCTGAGTTCCACTTGTTAAGCTATACAGCACCAACTTCTTTTACAAGTTACTCTTTATCAGTGCCATGCTACTAAAACTGGGAAATGGAGGAAGAAGATTTTCCTCTATAATAGAAGTGGGGAAATGTTGGGGCATAATTAAAATGTAAGAATATATTTATAAAATAGCAAACTTATAGATATTTCATGATCAATTAGAGGTCTCTGTCCAAGTCTCTGTTCTGCTGTTTCTGCTGAATTCAGTTGACCTTGACAGCATTTATGGCTCAGCTGCGTATCTCTGATGAGCACAGTGTCAGAGTAATTGTACCTTAGGGTACCCTGCCCTAGTCCAGGACACCCTGTAAGGACCCCCTACCCTCCCTGGAATGTTTTTATATCATGGGAGTGCCTTTAACTGTGCTCACTCTGTAAGGGCCGCCTTTTCTTATTTCCAGAGAGTTTCTGTATTATGTTAAACAATTCCTTTGTTTTAACAAATCTGTTCAAGACTCAGTGCATGTAACCAATTATGTAATGTTTTGTCACTTGTTTTGTGCCTCACACTTCTAAATTCTATATGAACTAATGTCTTTGTCTATAAACCCAGGGCTGTTGCCTCTGTGGGATTATCCCACAATAATCCACTGACATGAAGATCCAGCAGTTTGCCAGTGTAAAGATTAAACTCTGCCTTCTTAAAAAGAAAAAAAAAGGTAAGGATGTGGCTCAGTGCTAAATTGCCTTGGTTAAAATACTGGCACTGAAAAAAAAAAAAAAAGAAAAGAAACAAAAAAGGAACAGAACAGACTAGGATTAAAGCCCAGAAGGGCAAACATTTACTACTGTAATGCCATATCTGCCATATAGGGCACATGGGGGTGAGATGTGCACTTCAGAGACAGAATTGGGATGTCTCACTTATAGCATGTACAGCTTCATTGGTTGCAGCCCATATATCCTCTTTCTTGGGTTAGTTCTGCTCACTGCCAGAAGCTTTCTCAAGCAGATGTTATACATTTCTGGCATCTCTGACTTTCTGAGGTCTTGACAGTATTTCTAGCTTTATTCCGTTAGCTTCATACACTGCCCTCTCAAGGGCTCCCTGCCTGCCCTCCCAGGTCTTTCTTTAAAATATGTATGGAATCTTCCCTGATCCAACAAGTCTTGGATTCTGCATGAGACTAAAACCAGCATCATGCAGATGATACCGAGGTTTTCTGGCTGGGGAACATAAGCAGACCCTTTGGGCATAGCTGAAGCAGCCTTGAGTGCTTAGATGGCTGAACAAAGTGAAATAAATCTTGGAGAACCAATTAGCTAGGCAGCTCTTGTTAAGCAGAGGGTTCAGGGGATTTTCTCAAATGAAGTGTTTATGATTTTATACCTTTGAGCCCATGATGGGTTATGTCTTATTGATTTCTAAGACACCCTCCAGATTATGATTTTATTTATAGAAAAATCTGAAGACATTGCCAAATAAATATCAGAATAAAGAAACTAGGTAAAGTTGCTGGATACAGAATTAACATACAGTCAGGGATTTAGCTCAGTGGCGAGTCTGCCTGGTAAGCATGAGGTTGTGAGTTCAATCCCCGGTACCAAAAAAAAAAGATATCCAGCACAGACATGGGCTCTGATTTGGACACTTAACACAAATACCAGAAAATAACCACAGGCTTGAAGTCACAGAGAAATTTCTTTTGATTTTGGGTTTTATTTTTTTGTTGTTGATTTTTTTTCTATTTTTGCTCTTTAATGAATGTTAACACTGATTTTAGTTTTGCTTTGCATTGCTTTCTTTTTTCTTCCTCTCTTGTCTTCTTTGCCAGTTTATAAAAGCTTGAAATATTTTCCTTTCACTTCAGTCTTTCTTCTAATTTTTTTGTTTCATTATTTTTTCCTCTTATTCCTTTTAAATTCTTTCTCAGTGTAAAATCGTTCTAGTAAGTGGATTTTTAGTGAATATAGCTTCCAGATTGGTTTTAGATTTTGTTATTATATAACTATGAAGCTTGTACCTATGGTAAAAGGTAGAAACTTACTAGTTATCACAGTTTACCATTTTCTAAACTGTGCTTGATGCAATTGTTATTATTGGTTATACTTCATTAGCCAAGGTGACAGCTAGTTGTGATCAGCTTTTCTTCCTTGTATGCCAACACTGAGGTCATCTAAGGGTCATGAACAATACTACTGTTCAGTACCAAAGAACTGAGTGCTAGGCCAGACAGACATCAACCTTTAATCCCTGACAAATCAAAGAGGCAGGACCTCAGGACAGACTCACAGGCCAAAAGCCAGCTACATGTATGTCACGGTTTATGTCTGTGTCCCCCAGGCCTCATGAGTTTGCATTGTTCATTTGTGATGGTTCATTGTCTAGTGCTTGTATTGATGGTGTCAGTGCTCCACCCACATAGGGGTGGAGTCAGGATGTGATGTAATGGCAGAAGAAGGTGTGTCTTACTCTTTGCTGGTTCTTGCTTGCTGTTTGCAGCCGCCATGAACTGCAGCCCAGCCATGCCCATCTGCCTTGGAGCCAACTGAGTGTGGACTGAAACCTCCAAAAACTGTAAGAAATAAACCTTTCCTTTCCCAACTTTGGGCTTCAGGTATTCTGTCTCAGCGACGAGTAAAAAGTAACTAAGACAATGTAGAAGACATTTCTGAAAAGTAATAATTTTCTAAAGAGATCTCAGTACTAATAACAAAGCTATCTGTAATAAACAACTTATAAACATCAATGCAAGAAACAAATTTTTAAAAATAGAAAATGAGAAAACACAGAAGGAATATGCAACCCCAGACCTCCAGGTCACCCAAGGCAAATGCAGGGGACATTAAGGTGGAAGAAATCAAAAGACATCCAGCTGAACTTTCTGAAAGGGTAAAGCAGCAAAGCAGATGAATGAGGTGCTAGGAAAAAAAAAAGAGAAATAACTGCACAATTTACTACATAGATGACAGCCATAATGAAGGACATAGCCAGTGAATGTAGACACAGATAAAAAAATACATAGGAGCTTAGGAAAGTGATAGAAGCCATAAATGACCAATATAGGAAAGCTGGAGCTGGAATCCATAAAATAAATTCAAACAGATATTCAGGAGATTAAAAATTCTATTCAAGGTATTAAACAGCAGAATCAATGTGAAAACACAATATCAAATATCAGACAGGTTTGTGGTTAGCAGCTACCATATGAAAGACTTATTAGAAATAGCAAGGGACCATGAAAAATCAATCCAACAGCTGCTGATGAAGCAAACAACAACAACATAAGAACAATCCTAATCAATGAAAAATCAGAAGAAAGCACAAAGGACATAAAAAGCTTGTTCACAGAAGTAATAGCAGAGAACTTTCCAGGTATGTAAAACCAATTTGACTTACAGATAAATGAGGCACATAGAACTCCAATGAGCCATGATTGGAAAAAAAAACCTACACCAAGGCACATAATAGTCAAGAGTCCATAAACTTAACCCAAGGACAAAATATTAAGAGTTGCTCAAGAAAAGAAACAAATCATCTATAAGGAAAACCCATCAGAATCACAGATGACTTCTCAACACAAACCCTCAAGTCAAGGAAAACTTGGAGTGAAGTAGTTTGAGCCCTAAAATAAAACAACCTCCAAATCACATTGATGCACTTCACAAAATTATTCTTCAAGCTTGATGGAGAAATGAGACACTTCTATAATAAAGTATAGCTGAAAAAATTCATGACCACCAAACTAGCAGTCCAGAAAGTTCTGAAAGATATCCTAGGAAAAGACAATGTAGATAATTCCATGAATCCCAACGAGATGAATCTATTAGAGAAGCTAAGCAACTAAACAGAAGGCAAAGAAAGGGAACCAATAATAGCAAATTCATATGACAAGGATAAGTCAACACATATCAGTTATAACCATCAATGTAAATGATCTATTTCACCAATCAAAAATCAGATTGGCAGAATGGATCAATAAACAAGATCCAAAATATGCTGCATACAAGAAACACATTTGATCCAAAAAATTCATAAACCAAAAGTTAAAGGATAGAAAACAATACTTCATGACATAGGAACCTGGAAAAAAGCAGGCATAGCTGTTCTATTTGCAGACAAACTAGATTTCAAGCCTGAACAGAAATAATGAAGAAGGGTATTACATACTTAAAAAGGGAACAGTCCAAGAGGAGGAAATATCATAAATATATATATATACCAAATAGTGACATGCCCAACTATATAAAGTGCTAATTAATATGTTAATAAATATGATAAATAATATAAAAATAGTGATTAATATGCTAATATGAGATGCTAATTAATATGAAAAATCAGATGAGCACCAATACAACTGTAATAAGGAACCTCAATATAGGACTTTCACAAATAGATCAACCAGATGAAAAGATCAACAAAGAAATATCAAAACTGAACCAAACCTTTGAACAAATGGATTTAGTAGATATCTACAGGGTGTTTCCCTCTACAACAATAGAATACACATTCTTCTCAGCAGCACACGGGATTTTCTCCAAAGTAGACCACATACAAGGTCATAGTACCTGGTTAAATAAATGCAAAATAATTGAAATTACACCATCCATATTAGCAGATATAGTGCAATGAAACTGAAAATAGTGGCAAAAGAAAACACAAAAACTACATAGACGATGGAAATTACATAACACCCTCCTGAACAATGAGTCACTGATGAAACTAAACAAGAAATTAGTTTCTACAATTAAATGATAATTGTGATACAACATACCATAACTTATGAGGTGCAATGAAAGTAGCCTTATGAGGGAAACTTATAGCAGTGAATTTCCACATCAGAAAAGCAGAGTAAGCTTAAATACACAATCTAATGTTGACTCTCAAGTTTCCAGAAAAAGAGCAAGTCAAGCCCAAAGCTTGCATGAGGGAGAAAATTATAAAGATCAGAGCAGAGATTAATACAATTGAGACTAAAAACACAATACAAAGAATCAATGAACCAAAGAGTTAGCTCTTTGAAAGATTAAATAAAGTGAATAAAACTTTATCCAACCTTACCAAGAAAAAGGAGGGGGCGGGGAGAAAAGACTCAAATCCATACAATTAGGAATGAAAATCGTTAAATCACAATGGATCCTGAAGATCATCAGTACTCTAACAAGACGGAAAACCTAGAAATGGATACATTTCTAGATACAAATTCCCAAACTGAATCAAGAAGATATAAAAATTCTAAATAACAATATCAGTCAATGAAATTGAAGAAGTCATTTTAAAACTACTAACAAAGAAAACTCAGGTGCTTATAGATTCGTTGCTGAATTGTACCAGAAATTTAGAGAAGATCTAATGCCACTACACCTCAAACTCTTTAATGAAACTGAAAAAGAAACTCATTCCTGGAAGCAAGCATTACCCTGACATCAATATCTCAAATCCCAAATATGATAATGGCAAACAGAATGCAGCAAGTCATCAAGATTATACACCATGACCAAGTGGAATTCACCCCAGGGAGGTAAGGATGATGTAATATACACAAATCAGTTAATGTCATAAATCACATTAACAGAATCAAAGACAAAAAACACAGGACCATCTCAATAAAAGCAGAAAAAGCATTTAACAAAGTCCAACACCCATTCATGGTAAAAATCAAGAAACTTTAATAGAAGGTGTTCATCTCGACTGGATAAAAACCATCTATGACAAGCCAACAGCCAAAGTCAACGTCATACTGTATGATTGAAAACTGAAAGTTTTCACTCCAAAATCAGGAACACAACTAGGATGCACACTATCACCACTCTTGTTCAATACAGTTCTGGAAACATTAGCCTGAGCAATTAGACAAGAGAAGGAAATGAAAGGAATATGGATAGGAAAGGATGAAGTTAAATTATTATTTGCTGATGACACAACACTCTACATACAAGACCACAGAAATTCCACCAAAAGACTCCTAGAATAATCATATTTGGCAGCTTAGCAGGATACATGCCAAAGTCAGCACTCAAAAATCGATAGCATTCAGGTACACAAATGACAAACACACTTAGAAATTAGAAAAAACATCAAGAAAAATAAAATATTTAGGAATCAATCCAACAAAGGAAGTGAGATCTATACACTAAAAACTACATTACTCTGGAAAAGGAGATGAAAGAGGGTAACAGAAAATGGAAAGATATCCTCTTTTCTTGGATAGCCAGAACCAATATAGTAAAAATACCTGTACTCCCAAAGCTGTTAAACAGATTTAATGCAATCCTAATAGAGTATGTCACACAACTAGAGAAAAAAAACCCTAAAATTTATACTGAATCAGAAGAGATCTAGAAGAGCAAAAGCAATCCTGGGCAACAAAGGCAAGGCAGGGGCATCACAATCCTTGATTTGAAGTCATATTACAAAGTTACTGTGATAAAAACAGCATGGTACTGGCAAAAAAAAAAAACCAGACCCACGGATAAATTAATTGGAATAGAAGGTGCAGAAACAACTCTAATCACACTCAGCTATCTTGTCTTTAACAAAAGGGTCAAATACCTTTACTGGAAGAAAGACAGCCCCTTTAATAAATGGCCCTAGGAAAACTGGCTTTCAACATGCAAGAGATTAAACCTAGATCCACATCTCTCACCAGGCACTAAATTAAAATCAAAATGGATTAAAGATCTAAGTATTAAAATAGAAGCACCAAGTCTGCTGAAAGATAAAATAGGCAAAACTCTTAAAGACATAAGTACAGGCAAAGACTTTGTGAACAAAATCCCATAACACAGAAAATACTGCAAAGAATCAACAACTGGCCTCTTAAAAGCTTTTGTACAACAAAAGAGACCAAACACATAATGAAGGGATAACTCATAGAATGGAAAATTTATATCAGCTATTCCTCAGACAAAGGATTAATATTTAGGATATACAAAGAACTCAAAAATCAGACCCTCAAATTTAAAGACTCAATCCAGAAATTGGCATGTTGGAGGTTTTGTTTTGGTTTTTTGGTGAGGAGGTGAGGGGAGTACTGGGAATCAAATTCAGGACCTCACACTTGCTAGGCAGGTGCTGTACCACTGAATTAAATCCCGAGCCCCCTAAAAATGGGCATTTAAAGTGAATAGACAAATGGCAAAATATATGAAAAACATTCAGCATCACTGGTTATTCGAGAAAATCAAATTAAAACAACACTAAGATTCCATCTCGCTATAGAAAGAATGGCTAGCATCAAGGAATCAACCAATAACGAATGCTAGTTGATTTCTTGATTGAGGCTGTGGGGGAAAGGAACCCTTCTCCACTATTAGGAGCGTAAATTAGTACAACAACTATGGAAATCAGCACAAAGATTACTCAAAAAGCTAAAACCACAGGTTTCATTTGACCCACTGATTCTCCTTGTTGGTATCTCCCCCAAACAACTAAACATGTCATACTATAGTGATATATGCATACCCAGGCTTATAGTAGCACAATCTGTAATAACTAAACCCTGGAAACAGATTAGTTGCCCATTAAAGATGAGTGGATATACATCTGAGATGAAAGATATGCCAGTTACTCTGATC